AGGCCCAGAGCCAGTGCTGGCGTAGGCGGGCCTCCCACAGGAGCCCTGAGTGGGGCCTGGCAGCTGAGCATGGGGAGCCAACTGGCGAGAGCTGGGTGGTGGCAGGCCTGTTCCTCATGCGCGTGACAGCCTATTTTTTAATCAGCACTCTCCCCATCCCCCAACTTCATGTGCCGTCCTCAAAGGCGCCATGTCAGGAATCAAGTCCTGGCTGAGACCAGGGGCCACCTTGGCCATTGGTGGAAGGGTCCCCAAAGTCCCACATCCTCATGAAGCCCATGAGTCCTGAGCAGCCTGGAAAGCATGACAGGAGACTCAGGGAGCCTGTGTAGCCTGGGGCCTTGGGCCTGTCCCTGGACTCTCTGACTTCAGTTTCTCCTGTCCGTCCAGCGATGGGAGTTGTGCCAGACTCCATGGGGGTGTATTACAGCTCCAGCTCTTGGGATCCACTCAGGAATCACGACTGACACTAAGGTCGCCCACTTGTCAGGCCCTGGCAGGGCCTCCTGTGCCCACAGCACTCCCAGGGCACTCGATGCTCCCCGACCTCGACTCCCAGAGGAGGAGAGGGGAAGACGGGAGGCTGAGCTGGCTCAAGGGCACACCTCAGAACCCCAGGCCCAGGGAGGCTCCTCCTTCTAGCACCTCGGGGGCAGGGATGATGAGGGTCAGAGGGGAATGAGGTATGTTCTCAAGCACGTGGCTTGGCCCCTCCGAACCTCTGGCACTCCATAAGGCAGGAGAGAGCATGGTGTACAGGAGTTAAGCACACAGGCTTTGGGGCCAAAGTTCTGGATTTGAACCTGGCTGGTCACCAGCTGTGTGACCTTGGGAAGCTCACTTAACCTCTCTGTGCCTGTTTCACATCTGTAAGCTATTGATAATAATAGTACCTATAATAGTACTTACTCCATAGAGCTGCTGACATGTAAAGAACTTAAAAGACTCTGGCGCACAGCAACCCTAAAAGATAACTGTTTCCCAAGAACTTTGGCTTTTATCTGTCAAACACTTAGTCTCCAAGAGATTTATTCCAGAGGGTTACATGCAATCTCACATAGTTCAGTCTCACATCAGCCCCCTCTCCTATCCAGCCTGCCCCCTCCTGCCCCACCCTGGTGGCTGCCCCTCCTGCCAGCCCAGTGGTTTTCGTGTCTGTCAAGCTCTTTCCCACTCACAATCCCTTTCCATCCTTCCTAGTCCATTCCATAGTAGCGCAGGACCAAAGCCTGAGCCCCTGAGGGAGCAAGTGATTTGTCCAAGACCACCAGCCTGTTAGCTGAGGCAGGGGGTTCAAGTATCTATTCCTGAAGCCGGATCCAGGCCCTATCCACTCTACTGTGCTCATCCTCCCACTATCAAAACCTGTTCCTGGCTAAACATCAAAAAGTAATACACACTGAGATACAAGTCTTGAGTGAGTGTCCGTCTTCTCCAGGGCTTGCTATTTCAACAGAGATCAAAACATGATAATACTATTTAAGAGGTAATAGTTATTTTTATCTTCGCATTAAATTTTTAGAACAACAGTACAGGATAGGGTCTGCTATTGTTTCTGTTTTATAGACAAGGAAACACAAGCCGAGAGAGGTTATGTAACACGCTCAAGATCTCCCAGAAAGCCAGAGAGAGAGACCAGGGGTCCAACCCCAGGGTCTGTGTATCAGGCATGCAGGAAGTGGCTAGCACAGGAGTAGACAGAATTTTGCTTCACTTGCAGCAGCCCTAGGAGGCTGGGCAGGGTAGGGTCAGGTCAACACAGCCCTACTCTATATACTGCCTCACCAAGTGGAAAAGATGAAGCTAGGATGGTGGAATTTCAGGCAGCGGCCAGTTGGTGAAGATTTCATTCCGGAGAGAGGGATTTTGTGCACCTCTGGAGTTACAGGGCCTGGAGGCCGTCCCCACTCTGACTCCTCCTCTGGCCACACTGGGTAGCAATTGAACCACAGTGTCCAGTGACAGTTCACAAAGGACTCAGCTCACACTCACACACTCACAGGCCTAACTCAGCAGAGCCCAGCCACCCCGTGACCAGATCACAGGCCTGGGTTCCTTTGGGTCCACAGCCCAAAGCTCTGAGGGATGGAGGCATTTTCATAACCCACAGCCCATGACCATCCCACTCCCCATCCCCAGCTCTTAGTTTAGAGTATTTACCATCCTCTGAAACATCTTTCCTCCCAACCCAATTCTTACCATTCCTCTAGACCCAAGTTTTGGACAAGCCAATTCCGCAAAGCCTGCCATGACCACACCTTCAAATACCATTCAGGTTTCCAATCAGATGTCACCTCCGGAGAGAGCCCTTCCCTACCTACCAACACGAAGAAGCCACTCTAAGTGCTCGCCAAATTTGCAACATGGCTTTTTGTTGTTTTTCATACTACTTTTATCTATCTGAAACTGTCCTGCTGATTTCTTTGCTTTCCTTTTTCTTCTCTCTCTCTCTCCAGTTAAAATGCAATCTTGAGGGCAGGGACTTGTCTATCATGTTCACTATTGTAACCCCAGTGCCTAAGGACCCATGCACCCCCTAATTAGACAGGGACCCTGAGGTCCATACAGGGCAAGGGATTCACCCAGGGTCATGTGGAAGGCAAGTGGCAGAGGTCAGCCTAGCACCTGCACCTCTGCACTGGGCCCCCCCAGCACGTAGCCCGCCCCATCCCCACCCCAGCTGACCCTCTGCTGACCTGTCTTGTCCTTGCCTTCACACTACAGTGGGGCCAGAGCCTGCCAGGCCCGGGCTGCTGTGCCTCTCCACTGCCCCAGGGGCCTTCAGTGCCCCGGTCTGGGCAGCACGGCCTGCTTCCCCCTCAGTCCCTCCCTTCCTGGCACCAGCAGCTCCGATGAGCTCATGTCTGGGAGCCTGGGAGCTGCCCTGAAGGAGAAGGTACCTCCCAGGCCAGGCCCTTAGGCTGGGAGGTGTGTTCAGCCTGGCTGGATAGAGAAACCTGGTCCTGGCAGGTGGAGAAAGTGGGCTGACCCCTGCCCAGCCCAGGGCTGTGGGGTGGACCCAGGGAAACACATGTCACCCAGGGAGATGGGGCAGGACTAGGGCTGGAGAGGAGACACAGAGGAGGCTCCTCTTGCACTTCTCCCATCTCTCCAGAGGCTCCTCGGCCACACTGGCCATCCTGCTGTCAAGGAGCTGCTCTGTCCCAAGGAAAAGGGACTCTGCTGCCTTCTCATCACAGAAGCCCCCCAACCCAACCCCTCCCCCCCCCGGCCCAAGCCCCCCAACCCCAAAAAGGAAAAAATAAAAAAAAAGCCGAACGAAAAAGCCAAGGAATAAGTGGGAAACAAGCCAAGCCCCAAAAGCCAAAAGGGTTTTTGGCCTTAATTAATTAAGTTTTTTTTCACCTTAGGGGAAAAGTAACAGATAACAAGGGAAGGAAGGAGTTAAAGGCCTTATTTTAACCATGTAAATCCTAATTTCAATCACAGTTTCATTTAGGTACTAGACTGGAGAGCAGAGGGGTGGTCCCAAGGGCCAGCCTGCAAAGTGGCCATTGGGAGCCAAGGTTGGCATAGCAGCAAACAATTCACTTTTGGGAAGTTCTCTGAATATCAGACTAGCGTGATCTGAGTCCATTGCCCTCATTGTACAGATAGGGAAGAGAGGAGGAACCAATGCAAGATCCCCCGGGAGACAGAGGCAGGGGTTCCCGCCCCACGCACACACAGTATTTTCATCTCCCTCAAGGTGCCGTCCCACTGTCTGACATAAGACAAGTCTGGGAGGAGGAAGGTCACCAGTCTGTCTGTGGTGCTGTCCCCTAATACAGGATGGGGCCAGCCCTGGGGTTGGTGACAGGCAGGCTGGCACCTGCAAGGCTTCGAGCCTCTTACCCAGCCTCCCCAGTCCCTCTGAACAGCATCTTATCTCATCCAATCCTTGCAGCATGACAAGGCCCCTCAGGGGCCACGCGCCCACCCTCTCACTGGGAGTTAGAGAGGGCAGGGGGCTTGCCCCAAGATCACAGAGCAAAATGGTGTATTCGCGTGCCACCTGTCACTCGGGGTAGGGTGGGGACCGGGTGGCATGATGCTTCCCCACTGTCTCTTGTCCTTTGTGAACAACCCAGACCCGCGGAACACAGGAGGTCCTGTCCCCGTCCAGAATTGGCTTACAACCTGGAGTGGAGGTGCGGAGGGAGGGAGAACTTCTCTCCCGAGTTCTCAAAAAGGTCCTGTCAGGGCTCTGGACCAAGCCCGCTGAGGCGGCAGTGCGGTGGTTGGTTAGATAGGAGCCCCACCCTTCAGCTGTCCGGTCTCAGCAATCACCTTGGCACACATGGCGAGTTGTAAGAATGTGATGTAGAGGCTGGAGGGCAGTTCCGCCTCGCCCCCATAGGCACTCAGGAGAGGCCTCGATCTCCCCAGGTGGAGCTTGCGCAGGTTGTCCCCCTCGCCCAGATCCTGCGTGCCTAGCCAGCACAGTGCGGTGGGCGCCCCGCCCGCGGGAAGAGGGGTGGGCCGCGGGCCCAGCACACGCCGTTCCCTCTGCCCCACAGGCGCCCATGTTGGTCAACCCAGCAAGGGGCCCAACCCAACCCGCCGCTTTCCGCGTTCACGAGTCCAGCCGTTCCCCCCGCCCCCGCCACCCCTGCTCCAGAACGGGTCTGGGTGCGCACACCTCCGGCTGTCTCCCACCTGCGAGCCCGGGGCTGTCCCAGCCGTGATCTGCTGGCGGGTTGGGGCTCGAGGGCTGGATCTCCCAAGCAGTCAGGGGTGTTCCCCCCCTCCCCACTCCGCCGCCGCTGAGCTGCTTCGAGGCTTCGCGATTTCCCCAGCCCCCTCCTCTGCCGCCCCACTGTACAGGTGGGGAAACTGAGGCCCAGCCTGTAGCAGCCACTTGGCCAAGGTCACCCTGCCTGTGGGGACTGGAGCCCAGATCGCACCTCCACCTGGACAGCGCCCGGACTAACACAGGTGGGAAGGGGAGAGGCTTGCTGGGCGCTGGCATCCCTGCCCGGCCGGCGCCCCTCACTCACCTCCAACCTCCGCGCCTGGTCCCGGATCTCACCAGCGCCGCCACCTCCGCGCACCTGGCCGTGTCCATCAGCGCGCCCCACCCTGAGCGAGACCCCCCGCGGCCGCCCCCACCCCAGCAGGCAGGACTGCCCAAGTAGGACTTAGGCAAAGGGAGATTGAGGAAGGTTGTCATCTCCCAGGCTGTCTGGGGCCATCCCCTGACTTAACTGGTGGGCCAGCAACAACAGAGGCAGTGATGTTCAGAGGCCCATGGCAGGGGTCATCGTGCATCAGAATCAAGTAGGGATGCTGTGGAAAGTTGAGATTTTCACTATCAGGTGCCTCCTCCCAGTGGTGGAAGGGCTGGCAGTGGGCTTGGAATAATAAGCACCCTTCATTCCCCCAGCAATTCTGAAACAAAACCACAGCTGGAAAAACGCTGTCCTGGGTTTTCACCAAAGTTTCCCTGGGTTCCAAGTACCCCACCCCTTTAACCAGGGTGATTCCACTTGTGTGTTTTTTCTATCAGGGTTCTGTGTTTAGATTTCTGCTAGAGGAAGTTGGAAGTGTGCTGACGTAAGCCCACCCACCTGAGGTTCTGTGAAATGCAGAGCTGCAAGTGGCCTGGTTTGAGATGTCCCCTGTTCTCAGCGGATGGGCTTAGAGTGCACGGGGTCAGTTGACAGATGGGACAAGCCCTCCCTGGCTTCTCCTGACCCTCTGCTTGGCTTCTTGGCTGCAGAGAGTTCCTCTGACCCAGTAGCTGCTCTTGTGCCAGGGCTGCCCCAGGTGGCGTGGTGGGGGGAGCGGGTACTGAAGGGGTTGGGGGATTGGCATCAGGCAGGATATTGCCTGCTCTGTGAGTGCATGCACTACAGCCCAGCCTGTGAGAAACCAGGAAACAAACTGTGTGGGAGACAGAGGGAGGGAGGGAGGGAGGCTAGGATTACTGTGTGGGTGGGTATGAAAGTGAAAAAGATGGAGAAAAGGAAGGACAGAAAGTGGTTCAGTCTGTATGTGGGTGTGTGACGGTGGGTGTGCAGAGTGGATATGCTTGCAGAAAAAAACGTGTGTGCCTGCAAGAGAGATTGCACAGTGTAGGTGTGTGAGCAAAGGAAAATGGAGAGAAGAACATGCTTTTAACCTGTGTCTAAGGGAAGGAATGTGTGTGTGTGTATGTTTTCTGATGGGACTTCTATGTATACAAATTTGATGAATGTGTCCACATGTGAAAGTTAGACCTGCATGAGTGAGGCAGGGGTCTGTGGGAGGGTATATGCCAATGCCTACCCTATGCACGGGTATGTTGGTGTCTGAGAGCACGTACGTGTATGCACATGTGTGCAGATGTGAATATATACCCATGAGTATTTGCATAAGAACATGGCGTATAGACATCATTTGCTTGTACCTATGTTTGCAGGGGGTGTGAGCATGTATGTGTGGGTACATGTGTGAGGTATATGTGAACTTGTGAGCCCTGCCCCTATACCATCACCCCCTATTATGGTCACCGTGGTGAAGGGAAGGAAGGGGAGTAGGTGGGGCCTTGCCTCCAGCCTCTCTTCCACGGGCCTGAGGAGCAGGGGCCTGTCCCCAGTGACCACTGTCAGCTCTCATCATGGACACTGACTCCTCTACCTCAACAGGATGGACATGGCCAGGGGCAGGGCTACCCTGACAACCCAGGTCCATACCCCCATCTCCACCCCAGAGGCTCAGAGCTGTGTCCAGTAGAGTTGGAAAGGCCTCCAAACCCTCCTGATACCCCAGGCCCCCAAAAACAATGGCCTGGAGAGGAGGGAAGGTGGGTCTCCCAAAGCCCTGGGCAGAGGAGGGGTTGGACTGGCAGTGGATCCCTGGTCTCCCTGGGAGGAAAGGATATGGCTTGGCAGAATCCCCCAACATCCCTCAGAGCCCAGCCTTCCCCAGGCCCCGTGGGTGAAAAACACAGCCTGCTGCCTTGTCTCCATGGAGACACAGCAGCACAGAGGGAGATTGAAAGCATGGGCCAGACCTCCCAGGGTTCAAATGTCAGCTCCTCCACCCACCAGCCTAAGACTTTGACTTGTCACTTAAACTTGCTATGCCTTAGTTTCCTCATCTGTGAAACAGTTAAGAAAAGCGTGCACTTCTTAGGGTTGTTTAGAGGATGAGACGAAATAGCCCATACAAAGCATTTGGCCTAGGCCTGGCAGCTAAACTGGGAGGTAGAAACCCTGGGTTCCAGCCCTAGCTTTGCCACCAGCTTACTGACCTTGGACAAGCTACTTGCCATCTCTGCACTTTAGGATCTCCACAAGATTATCTATAGAATAATTTCAATAAGCCCTGCCAATTATGATCAGCTGAGACTTTGTGGAAAGGACAGTGGGGGGCTTTCTGGTGAGCTATAGACTGACTAGCGCTGACAAGGAGCCCTAGGTAACTTTCCTTCCCACGTTTGTTCTCTCAAGTTGGCAGCAGTTGATGGCAAGAAAGTTGAGCTGTAGTCTGCTGCCCGCTTCCTCTCTTTGCATCCCCTGACCCTCCAGCCTGCTAAGGACCCCATTCTACCTTGTTCAGTTGGTACCCAGGCCTTAGAGAAATGGCACTGGATCCCACCTACCCCAAGTACTGGATGCCCAATGCAGAAGATGCCTTGGCACATACTTAAAACTTTCAGGGAACACTCAAGAGAGGCAGGTATAATTGTGGAAGGATAGATGTGATTGTCTGAAGATGCTTATAATCCTTTGGCAGTAATGGGAGGAAGCTTTAAAAGGAAGCCCTAATCCACTAATAGCCTGGCAGCTCCACAGGCCTCTTCCCTCCGGATCTCCAGGCAGAGAGAAGGGACTGTGGCCACTCCCTTCCCCAAGGGAGCAGAAAGGCTAGTGTCGGCTCCAACCCAAGACCACCCGGGTTTCTGCTCTCTTGCAAGACCCAGCTTCCTTTCTGCCTCTACTTCTGAGAAGTCTTCCCTGCCCACTCCATCCTCCTGAGGTCACTCCTGCCTCTTCTGTCCTTGGAAATGTTCAAGACAGCACTAGATAACCATCTGGCTAGATGTTAAAGAGAGGAATGAACCAGACTGTGAGCAAGAAGAATAAGACAGTTTCAGCTCCAGTGCTGACTAGGACCTTGGGCTTAAGTCTCTGAGCCTCAATTACCTCACCTGTACAATGGGGATAGTAAAACCTACTTAGAAAGGCTAGAGTAAGATCAACAAGAATGAGATACCATGAAATGGACCAGCTCCATGTGAAAAGCCAACAGGACCCATTAATGGTTGTCTCTCCTAACACATTCTCTTCCCCTCCAAGGTGTCAGCAGACAATTCTCTCCCTAGCACTGTCCCATATAGATCCAGAACACAGTGGTAGCCAAGAACAAAGTCCTCATGCAAAACACTGCAACTGAATTATGGCCTTGGAGCTTGCTAGCTGTGAGTCTTGGACCAGTTACTTACAGTCTCTGGCTCTCAGTCTTCTCATCTGTATAATGGAGATAGTAATGGTATGTCCCTTAGGGAATTGTTATGTGATTAAATGAAGTGATACCTGTGAAGCTCTTAGCACAGTGGAATTGGCACATAGGGCTCAACAGATAATAGCTATTGTATTGTTGAGCTGATGATTATCGTTTTAGTTGCTATCAACATCCCTTACATGCTTATCTGAATTACCCTGCAACCTCATGATAGTTCTGTGAGGTAGATAGGGCTCATGTTCTTATTTTCATAGATGAAGAAACTAGGAAAGGATTTGAGGGGATCCAGAACTGCCACCCATGTCTCCTGACCCTAGCCATGGTCTGTTAGAGGGGAGGGAGCAGATCCTGGGGCTCTCAGCTCTAGGGGACCTGAAGGTCTGTCTCCAAGTTCAAGGTTGCTGGATGCTCCTGGGACCCTCCGCCCTTCCTGTCCTAGATGCATCTAAGTCCCCTCCTTGGTTGTAAGTCCCCTCACCCCTGCTCCCTGTTGTAACCAGAGCCTGGGGGAACAGAGAATAGGAAATGGTGGCCGTGGGGGTTGGTCAGACCCTGGAGAGAATTATTTCAGAAAAGAGAGTGGGCGGGAGGCTGGTGAGATGCCAGGTTGGGTGTCAGCAACGCCTGCACAGAAATGAAGTGCTCCTTCAGTTTCCTGACGCACAAGCCCTCCCCGGCCTGGGTCCCCCACATGCCCTGCGCCCTGGGGATCTGCTGGCAGCATCTCATGCCTGAGCGAGCATGGCCGGGCTCACGTCCTCCCCATCTGGACCCACTTCAGTGTTTCCATGGGCCTGGCAGTGGAGGTGATTCAGTGTGGGTTTCCCTGTCCCGCCCTGCTCAGCTGTCTCCTGCCGCCATAGGAAATTGATCATCCTTCCTTCCTTCCTTCATGCTATGTTCACCAAGCTCTCCCCTACACACTGTCTTTGGGTCCTCACTGCAGTCCCGGTGACATGCCTCTGTCACCCCTAACAGATGGAAAACTGAGGCCTGGATGAGGAATACGGGCTCAACTCAACCACCAACAGGCTGACCAGGAGCTGTCTCTTCCTCACTTTGGGCCTCAGTTTCCCACCTGTAAAATCAGGAGGTCTGTTTAGAGCAGAGGCTCAGTCTCTACCTCAGAAGCTCCATGAGGGCAGGGGCCACGCCTGTGTGGCCCAGCACTGCGTCCCCAGCCCCCTCAACTAGCGGGCACTCAGCATGTTCAGCGAGATGGTCCCACCCCATCAGGTGTTCCCACTCCAAGGTCATTCGTTACCAGGAACCATTAACAGGCAGACAAGAGTAAGCGATGGGCTTTTTTTAACTAAGCATGGCTTTCTCTTGCTGCCTTCTCACGTGCCATCTCTGGCAGAGCCAAGGGTGCACTTAAATGTGGTCCAGCTGGAATGACACAGACGGCACAGCCTCCCCTGTGTCTCCATGGCTGTTAGTCTGTGCAGGCCCAGGGGACTCGGATAGACTCTCGTGTACCATGGGAAAATATGGCCAGAGGTGTGTGTACATGCTGAGCGCCTGTGGGGTCCTGCCTGACTCTGGCAGTTCAGGGGAAAAGGGCCATGAGCTTACCTGGTTTCTGGGCAATCCTGGGCCCCAGGCTGGGGCTGAGGCTGGCTGTCATCACTTGCCGGACCTTCACGGTGTCCCCGTCCCGACTGGTTC